ACGACACATGACGACACATGACGACACATGATGAGAACCATAAAACACAGATTCTTACATTTGATCATAATTCAATAAAACTCACCGCTCTCTGAACTCTGCTGAAATCTTTACGATGGAGCCGCAGAGATTTGACCAGCGAGCTCGTCTCTGCCGCGCTCCACCTCACACCTGTAATACACATTCAATATATACGTTATGTACAAATACACGCAACACGCTTTCATCCGAGGAACGTCTGTGTGTTCATAAACGGGACGTGGACCTGCGTGGTTTTTGTTGCAGGATTCAGGAGTCGACAGAAGTTTCTCCACCGTCAGCTGGAAACAACAAAAACACGGAGGTGGAGTCAGGGACGGCTGCGCACCAATCAGAATTTAGAAACACTCCTTTAAGATCTGATGACACCTGGTGGTTGTTCGTCAAAGTGAAACTTTTAGAAAATCAATAAAATCATTTCATCATTTTTTGTGAGAAAAAGATATTTTACCAGAAAGTCTCCTCCGCTCTCTGATAGGACGTGGAGGGCGTACTCTGGGCTGGCCCCGCCCCCTGGCACCACACTGGATCGAGCCATCGTCTGCAGCGTCGTGACTGGACGAACAATGTGTCAATCAAAAATAACCTGTCGTCATGGTGATTACAGTGAGACAGTGTTTCTGTGTGTTTACCTCTCTGTTGATTGACAGGTTTCTCCAGCTCGTCGCACGGCGTCCACAGCCACAGTGCATTCTGGGATTCCAAGTGGGCGTATTTATGGTTGCGCAGGGGTGGGATTTCGGCCTGGAAGCCCCGCCCTACATTGATCCTCCTGTGATTGACAGCTCAGGGTTATCCAGTGATCAGAAAGTGATGTCGTTAAAGTCGATTTCGAGAACTTAACGTACGGCTTATTGATCTCCGTTGTCGGTGTCTCCATGGCAACAAGGTCACAGAGTCCATCTGCCAATCAGAGACAGAAAGTCAAACATCAGCCTCGGCTGTTATCCAATCAGCTGAGGCACGTGCCCTCTAGCGCCACCCTGAGGAACAGCTGAATATTTTTAGCTCCACGATCGGGAGCGAACTCGTCAGCACTTTGTACGTGTTGTATCTGTAGTTAACGATGTAGCCTCCAGGTGGCGCTTGTGTGTTAATGCTGGACTCACTGTGTGAACTGTGAAGTTGGACACTTTGTGCTCTCCGCTGCCCCCTGGTGGTGACGGAGCAGTACAGCCCCGGCCCTGCCCTGAGCGGACACAGCATGGGCGGAGGGGTGTAATGACCTTTAACCTCTCTGGCTGCTGCGTTGCCCCTAGTGACCACTTCCTGTTCCTCCAGGTGCATCAGGCTGCGGTAGAGCACAGCGCCTCCAGTGGCCGGAGACGAGCGACAGCATCTCCTCTGTCCACTCCTACACGCCTTGGACGCCGCTCTGGATTGGACGGGCACAGAGACCGGCCTCACCATGGCAACCGAGCTGTGGACGGGCGGAACCTCACCCTGGTAAAAAAAACATTACACCTGAGGCCACAAGGGGCAGCGTTTCCCACCGAAGTGCAGAGGTCGACAGTGAAAAGTAACTTTGTCAGAATAAAACGTGCGACTGAACCTTTTTCAAACACGTGGCCGATCTGAAGACGCTGTGCGAGCGCATGTGACCGTTCAACGCCGGGAGACTCCTGAAATCTCTCTTACACACTGTGCACAGCAGCCTGCAACACACACACACACACACACACACACACACACA